CAGGCAGAGAGGCAGGCAGAGAGAGAGAGAGAGAGGAGGAAGCAGGCTCCCTGCCAAGCAGAGAGCCCAATGCGGGACTCGATCCCAGGACCCTGAGATCATGACCTGAGCCGAAGGCAGAGGCCTAACCCACTGAGCCACCCAGGCGCCCTGATCTAATACTTTCTAATCACATTTCTTAAAGAAATGAACATATTATATATATATATATTTTTTAAATGTAGGGGCATCTGGGTAGCTCAGTCAGTTAAGCATCCAATTCTCAACTTCAGCTCAGGTCATGATCTCGGGGTCCTGAGATTAAGCCCCACATCAGGCTCTGTACTCTGTGTGGAGTCTGGATGTCTCTCTCCCTCTACTCCTCCTCCCCGCACTTGCTCTCTCTAAAATATATAAACCTCTTTTTTTTTTTTTTTAAGATTTTATTTACTTATTTGGCAGAGACAGCGAGAGAGGGAACACAAGCAGAGGGAGTGGGGGAGGGAGAAGCAGGCTTCCCGCAGAGCAGGGAGCTGGATGCGGAACTCGATCCCAGGAACCTGGGATCATGACCTGAGCTGAAAGCATCTGCTTAACAACTGAGCCACTCAGGCGCCCCTAAATAAATCTTTTTTAAAAAACAGTAAATATGCGTGCCTGGGTAGCTGAGTTGGTTAATCATATGACTCTTGATCTCAGCTCAGGTCTTGATCTCAGGGTTTTGTGTTCAAGCTCAGCACTGGGCTCTACGTTGGGCATGGGACCTACTTAAAAATTTAAGAGATGGTTAAAAAAATAAATAAATATGACAATAATGAATGGAAAATTTATGTAAATATGGGATTAAAATTTCTTGGGTACTTACCAATTTTGTTACTACTTGAATGCATTAATTCTGGATCCTCAGCTATTTGCTGTTTGAGTTTTTGAAGGTATTTTTCAGCCAAATATTTAAAAACTAGAATAAAAACAAAAATCTTACCAGGTCAGTATAATTTACGCATGTAAAATCTGTTATTTCATATCAGTCACTGTCTATTGTATACTTCCTAAAAACATTTATTTATTTTTGAAATATCTGTATTCTTTCATTCATCCTTACTAAACACATTAAAATTAAATTTGAAGTATACGATCTAGTTGAAAAAATTCAACTTTTAAAAATTATTTGAGCAGGGGCTCCTGGGTGGCTCAGTTGGTTAAGCATCTGCCTTCATCTCAGGTTATGATCCCAGGCTCCTGGGATTGAGCCCCACATCAGGGTTCCTGCTCTTCAGGAAGCCTGTTTCTCCCTCTCCCTCTGCCTGCCACCCCCCTGCTTGTGCTCTTTTTCTGTCAAAAAAATAAATAAAATCTTAAAAAAAAAATTATTTGAGCAATATCTAAGTACAATGGTCATAATAAATATATACGGCATTTTAGTAGCAAAGAAATAAAATAATACTTGTAGTTATTACTTTTAGGTACTTGAATAGGGATCCACATTCAGAACACTACACTAACTCAGTCTTGAAAAGTTGTCTCCTTTTTAAAAAAGATTTTATTTATTTTTGAGAGAGAGAGAGAGAGAATGCATGCATGAGCATGAGCCGGGGAGTGTGGTAGGGCAGAGGGACAGAGGCAGATGCCGACTCCCTGCTGAGCAGGGAGCCCAACGTGGCACTCGATCCCAGGACCATGGATCATGACCTGAGCCAAAAACAGATGCTTAACCTACTGAGCCATCCAGACGCCCAAGATATCTCCTTCCTTTAGGTGAAAAAAACTACCTAGAAGACACTTGAGTAATAATCAAGTTGCAATCTAATAAAAGTAGCAGTTCTAGAACGAGAAAAATAATTGCCTTCTTCTACTGTCAATTTATTAAACTGGGAAATATTACTAAACAAATTAAGGTCGGGCTGCCTGGCTGGCTCAGTGAGTAGAGCATGGGACTCTTAATCTAGGGGTCATAAGTTTGAGCCCCACGCTGGGGACAAAGATTACTTAAACAAAGCAAACCAAAGAAACCCCCCCCAAAAATGAGGGGTGCCTGGGTGGCTTAGTTGGTTGGGCACCCACCTCCTGGTTTTGGCTAAGGTCATTATCTCATGGGTTGTGGACTGAACCCCACATTGGGTCTGCACTTAGCAGGGAGTCTGGTTGATAATACCCTCTGCCCCTCCCCTGCTCTCTCTCTCAAATAAATAAATCTTTTTAAAGACACACACACCAACAAATTAAGGTCATTGTAAACATCTAATGGAATATCCTCTACAAAGGAGTTCTCAAACAAGTCAGTAACTTGAAAAGGTATGCATGAAAAACACATGCATGCATACACACTCATATAGATACAGTTATATTTTTAAAGATAAAAAACAAAATGAAACCCACTAAAGTTTTTCTATAGGGAGTAACAAGTATTCAGAGTCATTGGTAATTAGTTAAGGACTCTAAGAAAGGAGCACCATGTCTCTAAATTTTACTTGATTGTTGACAAGAAAATTCTATTCTTATTACATATATGATTTCTGGAAACCACAAAAGAAAAAACGTAAGTAGAATAAAACAAACTTTCTGCTATTAATTTTTTTTTAAAGGCAGTTTACCTTCAGTCACATTTAGATCTTCTTTCACTGACGTTCTGTAGAATCTTAGCTTTAACTTTTTTGCCAGTGCCTCAGCTTCCTCACTATATATTGATTAAAAGAAAAAAAAGGCACTTATAGAGGTACTTTCTGATAGCCTGTTTTAAAAGATCATTTTTATTACATTTTTTTAAAAGATCATTTTTATTACATTTACTGAATACAGCTTGCAGGTGGGGGGTGTCAGACCTTCCAGCCCAGTTGAAAGCTATGTTCACAGTGCTGAGACAGGATTTTTAGTTTTCAGTATTCTTGGGGGATAAACACCACTATACTGTCATTTCTATAAACATTGAATTCGAGCCTTAAAATGGCTAAATATCTCTTTTCTTTATATAATACTTAAGTTAACTTGCTTTCTTGTTTTTAAAAACATTTGAATTTAATTGCATTCTGAAAACCCTATGCTGCATTCCTTATTTTACTCATACTGGCTATGAAACTACTTTGCGGCCAAAACCCAAGTCATCATATTAACAACTGTGTCTACGAGAGCATACTCCTAATTTTAGTTTTATTATGACTCCTGATCTGACTCCACAGTTTTACTAAGACTGGTAGCTCTGCTCTAAAATTGTTCCCGAAGGGGGCGCCTGGGTGGGTCAGTTGGTTGGGCAACTGCCTTCAGCTCAGATCATGATCCTGGAGTCCTGGGATCCAATCCCGCATCCACCTCCCTGCTCAGCGGGGAGTCTGCTTCTCCCTCTGACCTTCCCCCTTCTCATGCTAGCTTGCTCTCTCTCTCTCTCTCTCATTCTCTCAAATAAATTTTTTTTTAAAGATTTTTTATTTATTTATTTGACAGACAGATCACAAGTAGGCAGAGAGGCAGGCAGAGAGAGACAGGAGGAGGCAGGCTCCCCGCCAAGCAGAGAGCCGGATGCGGGACTCAATCCCAGGACCCCGAGATCATGACCCGAGCCGAAGGCAGAGGCCTTAACCACTGAGCCACCCAGGCGCCCCTCAAATAAATTTTTTTTAAAAAGTCTTTAAAATCGTTCAAAAATCGTTCCTGATGATTCCACCCTACCCCTACCTTCCTCCTGGTTTTCAATCCTTGTGTAGCCTTTCCTACATTGTAATCAAGGTTAGTCTGTGTGATCACTAATACACAGAAGGGATAGTATCTGACTTCTGAAATGAGGTCATAAGAGACATTATGGCTTCTGCTTTGTACTGTCTTGAATCCCCTGACCGGGGGAAGCTGGCTGCCATGCTGTGCCGACACTCAAGCAGACCCAGGGAGAGGCCCGCATGCCAAGGAACTAAGTCCTCCTGACAACAGCCAAGTGAGGGAGCCGTCCCAGAAGTGGATCCTCCAGCCCCAGTCAAGGTTGCCACGACTAACGTCCTGGGCAACATCGCGAATGCAAGTTCACGAAAAACCGGAACCAGAACCACCTGGCTAATCCACTCTCAAATCCCTGACCCACAGAAACTGAAATGATAAATTGTTGTTGTTTTAAGCCACTAAGTTTTGGGTCCTTTGGTTATACAACAGATAACTAATATTAAGAACATACAAACAAGATAAAAACCAAAGACTTTTCAAAGCTAGCAAATACAGATAGAAATTATTCAGATGCTCTGTTCACAAATTTGAATAGTATTTCTGAATACACAAAACAATATGAATCTGAACTACTCATCCCTTTAAACTCATCAACATAGATTAGCTACTTGCTCTAGATATTAAAACATACAGGGATTTTTTCTTAACATTCTTATTAAATCTAGATTTGCTTTAACATCAAGAGCTGGATTTGTGGTATAAGACCTAAAACTGGAATTCTAAAAGAGCCTTCAAAATTTATTTCCTGTAATTTTCTCTACTTATGATTTCATATGAACTTTTTTTTAACCCAAACCAGTCACCTAGAAGAGCTCACAGAAAATTTAAATTTAAGGCAGTCTCTATAAAGGGTTTCCTAAAATTTTTAAATCCACACAAAAATTAAAACAGGTTTTAACTTTACAGAATTACCACCTCCCCCTCAAAAGTTGACATCTTACTTCTTTATACAAGAATCATCCAAGAGGTCAATCTTGTTTTGCACAAGCACAGTTGGTATATCTCCAACTTCAGCTACTACTTTCTCTCTCCAACTGGAAATTGCTTCAAAAGATTCCCTGTCTGTGGTAGAAAATACAAGCACACAAGCCTGGGCTCCTGTAAGGTCACAAAATAAGAATGTTATTTACATTAATGAAGCAATTCTATATAGGATGAGGGCAACTTTTACCTATTCAAACGATTTTTTTTTTTATTGAAGTGTAACTAAGATACAATGTTATATTAGTTTTAGGTTTATCGAAACCATTTTTATGTAAATGAATATTGAGCTCACCTTTGCAGCACTGTGTTTATGTTTTAACATACAAATTCTATTTTCTAATTCCAAGAACCAGTGGTTCTTAAAATTGTGTACATTCTTATTTACTATACATTCTAATTAAGTAATTGTTAAATAAAATCTTGGAAGAAAAAAAAACTGGACATATTCTTTTTGGAACACCATGAAATAATGATATTGAATATTATAAAAGCAAGAAAGAAGCGTGCCTGGGTGGCTCAGTGGGTTAAGGCTTCTGCCTTCCGCTCAGATCATGATCTCAGGGTCCTGGGATGGAGCCCCATAGGGGGCTCTCTGCTCGGCAGGGAACCTGCTTCCCCCACCCTCTCTCTGCCTGCTTCTCTGCCTACTTGTGATCTCTCTCTCTGTCAAATAAATAAATGAAATCTTAAAAAAAAAAAAGGTAAGAAAGAATGGTAAGCTAAGTAAGAATGACAAGCTATTGTCAAGTTCTTCCTATTACTATCTACCATTTGCTTCTGAATTTCTTTCAGCACAAATTTAAGAAAAATCTGAGAAAAATCATAATTTTCTCATTCTATTTACTTTAAAAAAAAACTTTAGGGGCGCCTGGGTGGCTCAGTGGGTTAAGCCGCTGCCTTCGGCTCAGGTCATGATCTCAGGGTCCTGGGATCGAGTCCCACATCGGGCTCTCTGCTCAGCAAGAAGCCTGCTTCCCTCTCTCTCTCTCTCTGCCTGCCTCTCCGTCTACTCGTGATCTCTCTCTGTCAAATAAGTAAATAAAATCTTTAAAAAAAAAAAAACACTTTATTATTTTATTTTAGTAGCAGAATACCAGTGATGTTAATGAACATAATTTAATAATCAGTGCCAGAAGGTAAAAAAAAGTAAAATAAATATATATATATTTAAAATAGAGGAAAAGGTTTAATTTCATTTTTTATCCTGTTTGACTGCATAATTCCTATTACTCAATGACTATATTGTAATTTCCATGCTGAATGACAATATTTTAACTTTCAATTACCACATTAAGTGGCAACCTTCTGAAAGAAGCCCTTTTATTTTAAGTAGGCTCCACACCCAATGTGGGGCTTGAACTCACAACCCTGAGATCAGGAGTCACATGCTCTACTGACTAAACCAGCCAGGCACCCCTGAAAGTTCTTTTGTAAATGATTAGATGTTACATTAATCAGGCAGCATGGTGACAAAAGCAGATACACAGGCAACAAGAGAAAATCTCCCTGGGATCAAGAGGATTTTCTGGAATCAAGGCACGTTTTCTTACTGTTACTCTTTCCTTCTAGATCCCTCAGGTATCAGACTTTCCTAATAAGACTGGGCTGCCTAAGACACTCTATGGCCAAAAAAGGTCTGTGTACCACCAAAGGGAATATTGTAGTAGAAAGCAAAAGAGCATGAAAGAGAAAAACCATCAATTCATTATTACTGTAACAGCAGAGGCTTCATATGGGAAAACCTTCCCTACTCTAAAACAGGTTTTTAAACCAAAGACTATATTAATTATAAAAATTGTCTAAATTAATATAAAAATGGGGCAGGGGACAAGGTACAACACAGAGAGAAGCACCCTAACACTTTCCATGAATTTAAGGAGAAATAAAACTGACAAGGGATGCCTGGGTGGCTCAGTGGGTTGAGTGTCAGACTCTTGATTTTGGCTCAGGTCATGATCTCAGGGTCGTGAGATCGAGCCTCATGTCTGGCTCTACACTGGGCATGGAACCTGCTTAAGATTCTCTCTCCCTCCCTCACCTTTCTCTCTCTCAAAAAAACAAAACAAAATAACCCCCAACACTGACAAGATCACACTAGATACTAGTAAGTAAATTTATATTTACTTGAACTCTAATATTTAAATTATAAATAAAATAAATAAAACATTATTTCATTACACTTTGACTAAGAAACTTTTTTTTTAAGATTTTATTATTATTATTTTTTTAAAGATTTTATTTAGGGGCACTTGGTGGCTCAGTGGGTTAAAGCCTCTGCCTTCGGCTCAGGTCATGATCTCGGGGTCCTGGGATGGAGCCCCGCATCGGGCTCTCTGCTCAGCAGGGAGCCTGCTTCCCCCCTCTCTCTCCCTGCCTCTCTGCCTACTTGTGATCTCTGTCTGTCAAATAAATAAATAAAATTAAAAAAAATTAAATAAATAAATAAATAAATAAGGATTTTATTTATTTACTATTATTTATTATAAAACTCTATTAGCTTTAAACCTAGAATTTTAGGGCACCTGGGTGGCTCAGATGGTTAAGCATTTGTTTCGGCTCACGTCATGATTCCAAGGTCCTGGGATCCAGTCCTGCATCTGGCTTCCTGCTCAGTGGGGAGCCTGCTTCTCCCTCTCCCTCTATTGCTCCTCCTGCTTGTGCTCCTTCACACTCTATCTCAAATAAGTAAATAAATAAATAAAATCATAAACAAACAAACAAAACCTAGAATTTTATATCTAGTCAATAGTTCCTTGAGGGCCCATTAGGGTATTTGCAGGGATACGAAGTCTTTAAAAAAAAGACAAAGACACTTTAAAAAAAAATAAAAAACAAGAAACTCTTAGAGGAAGTATACTTTAATAATAATGTATAAAAAAGCCGAGCAGTTGGTGCCAGAGATATGGGCAGCAAGAATGATTAACTCAGAAAAGCAAAATGTTGTTTAAAAAATTCTTTCTTTCTAAGATTTTATTTGTAAGTAATCTCTACACCCAACACGGGGCTCAAACTCACAATCCTGAGCTCAAGAGTGACATGCTCTAGGGACCGAGCCAGTCAGGCGCCCCAAAATGTTGTTTAAAAAAATGAATAAACCAACAGATAAAAGAAAAAGTATGTCCATAACAACCCCAGAATTATTTAGTGGGAGACTGAGTGGGGAGAGACCAAAGGAAAGTGGAAAAGTAGTTAAGTGCCAGTCTAAAGAGAAGGGAGATGTACTGTTACATATGTTTAAGCAATCAAGGGAGGTAAACACAAATATGAGTAGAGACACCTGAATTTCACCATAGCTGTGGACAGTTCCTGCCTGTTGTTAATATCCTCAAAGCATATGCTGCAGGTGGCACTCAGCATTTTTTGTTGTTGTTTTTTTCAGATTTTATTTATTTGAGAGAGAGAGAGAGAGAGTGCAAGCATGAGTGCAGGCAGGGGCAAAGGGAGTGGGAGAAGCAGGGAGCCTGATACAAGGCTCGATCCCAGGATCCCGACATCACGGCCTGAGCCGAAGTCAGATGCTTAGCCGGCTGAGCCACACAGGGACCCCACACCAGTTTTTCTGAACCTGAGTTTTTTCTGATGCTTCAGAAAGATTCTTGGGCTAGCCCATCCTAAGGGAAACGGATAGCTCTGGGGAGAATTTGAAAGTATGAGAGATGGGATAAAAACCTCAGCATCACTTTAGTGGGACTATCTTGAGGCATGGCTACATGGTTCCTCACAGGGACTGATTCTCCAATTGCCTACAGTAATAATTAGCTCATTAGTGCTCCCTTCATAGGTTTTTCTCCATTTTCTCCCCAGTCTCTCACTTGTCCCTGGGATCACCTACCAAATAAACCAGCCCCACCAAGTTGTGCCAAGAACTGTTTTGTGGATTACTTTTGCAGATACAATAATTCTGAGAAATGATGGACAACTTGTTTTAATTTCCTCTAACTGAATATTATCATCCATACATATAAATACTCTGTGAACTTGTGATGCATTATGGTTCTTTTCTGCTTAGGAACCTTCCTCCTCCCCCACCAAAAGAGCCCAATTATATACTTTAAAAAGTTAAAGACCCTTTATACAAAATTTTGACTGAGATGACAATAAAACAGATGACAAATACCAGATTCCAAGTAAGTGTGGAAAGATCACTCTTTGCAGAATTTACAAAGGAAATGCCCATAAATCCATTATACAACTTTGGAACTCCCTCACAGGCACTTCAAGAATTTTTTTTTTTTAAGAATTGAGAAGAAGGGGAAAGGATTTCATTAGAGGAAGTGCTGGCCACACTAACTCTTCTCTCTCTTTCTCTTGTTTTAAAGATTTTATTCACTTATTTATTTGAGAGAGAGAGAGAGAAAGAGTGAGCAGGGGGGTGGAGGGGAAGAGTAGAGGGAGAGGGATAAGAAGACTCCCCGCTGAGCAGGGAGCCCACATGGGGCTCTATCCCATGACCCTGAGATCATGACCTGAAATCAACAGTCAGAAACTTAACCAACTGAGCTACCCAGGTGACCCCTTTCTTTCTCCCTTAAGGTGGGGTGCTATGGAGGAGAGTACTATCATTACCTCCTTCATCTTAATCTAGAAGGAATGGACTTTAGCAAGACTACTTAAGTAGCCTGGGATGCGTTCCTGGCAGTTGGGGGCACTCTGGACTGATGGTGCCTTGATTCAAGCCTGAGGAAGATGCAGTTGCTGGGAACAACAGCAAAAAGGCAAGACCGACAGACAAAAAGAAAAGAGCTGCCTTTGGGAGTAACTGTGCTCCTGTCGATAGCAAGACAAAGAATGCACAGGAATTTCATATGGAGAGAGGTGAACCACATCTCAGAGATAACCTAGCATGGGGTCATTTTTAACTCATGTCCCATAGGACTGCTTATTGGATGATAGGAGTTTAGCATAGAGGGTAGAGGTGGAACGCAACTCCTGCAAAAGGCAGCAAGGAGGAAAAGAAACTGCAAGAATCAAGTATACAGGAGCGTCTGGCTCAGTGGGTTAAGGCTCTGCCTTCAGCTCAGGTCATGATCTCAGGGTCCTGGGATCGAGCCCCGCATCAAGCTCCTCATCGGGCTCTCTGCTCTGTGGGAAGCCTGCTTCCGCCTCTCTCCCTG